TTTTTCATCCAATAGGACTGATCATAACATCTCCTGGTGCCTCTTTTCAGAGAAATAATACAACACTTGCTTTTATGTCCATTGGAATATATGGAAGGGAACTGGCAAAGCCAATCAGTCTGGTAACAACAGAACTTTGTTAACTCAACATTAATGAATATCACAGAGGGCAGATCTTAACTGATCCTGAGCATCTTGTTTATAGCCCTTGAACTCCAATTGCCAAATTGTCTCAGAACTTGCCTCTCTCCAAATCAGAACAATTCTAATTCACAGTTTATATTTATTCATAGACAGATTATAGCTATTCATTCTAGACCAATTTTTTGGCAAGATGAATCAGGTTTTTCTGTACTAGTTTACAGTGAACTCAGTTTTTTTCCAGTTTTCAGCATAATCGTTTCGATAACTGCAGCCACTAATGGCAGTCAGACTTTTCTCTCAGTATAGGATTTCATTTTCCAGATTATTCTTCCAGGAGATTATTTAAGCACTAAAGATCTTTATAATCCTTTACTTTAAAATGTGCATTTAGTGAGGGACCTCTTATAAGCAGCAATAAAATAGGTAACAAAATATTTATACATATTACAAAATTATATTTTCTCTCAGCTGTCTCCATAGTTAAAGTAAATAAAGAAGCAGAATTATTTAAGGCTGACAAAATTATTCAAGTTTTTTAACTACAAGTAAATATGAGGATGAGTATTATAACTACTATTATAGTTACATATTACATCAGTTTTATGAAGTAGAACATTCTATTTGTCACCATTTATTGTAACTATAAAACCTGGTCTTGTTACATGTTCTGTTTCATACAAAGTCAATTTAATGCACTGCACAAAAGTAAATTACTATGCAAAATTGGTAATTTGCATGAAATTTCCCTCTTTGTGCTCTTAACGGCTATTGGTGCTTATTTTCAAAATACAACCAGCATATATTTACACTTTGAAAGAGAAATGTACATTTTAACTTAATTTCATTTACCCTTTTACTTAATTTCAAGTACCCTTTTCCTCATTGCATCACTTGTTTCAGATTTTTGATGCTAGAAATACAGATATAACATGCTTGAGTCTGGCCTAGACACAGAGTTGGACAGACAGTGGTGCTCCATTTCTGTGATTCTTTCTCCCACTGGAATCTTTCATTTGTGTGCTTTTGCTGCGGGGTTTTCAAATCCCTGCCATTGTGCCTGCCAGCCTGATTGTACCCCCTCGGCAGACCCAGCCCTTCCACAGGCAGCATTTCATGTCTGATTTACCAGCTGGGGCTGTGCTAGCATTGCTTTTTAGCACCACAGGAGACAAGCAGGCTAGAAGCAGCGCTAGTTATAGAATGATTTGGTGGGCAATAGCATCCTCACTCATTACCATCATTTTGTTGCACAGGAAGATGAAAGCCATGCTGTCCTAGCCGAACTGGCATACAGGGAGATATTTTAAGAAGTAGACTATTAAACGCTTGGAGTCACAAGATAAGAGGTTTTGGTTACCCACAGGTTCTATGTGTAATTTAGCTTCTGTAGTAGCAAAGAGTGAAGTTGAAAAATAGGGTCCAGAGTTTCCAAAGTAAAGTTAATACCTGCAAGTCTCATATTTTTGTACCTGACTCCAGATAATTCAGATTCATCATTTCTTCTCTGCATCCTGGTTCCTGGTTTTCTGAAGAGTGCTTTCCTTCAATAATATTACTTTCTTCCTTTTTTCTGTTTTCTTAATTCTGAGCATAAAGGCCAAAAGGCAGTGCACACCCATGATAAAATAAAGCCTCTGAAATATGTTCCTGCATGTACTCAGCCACTATCCAAATCCATTCTCTCTGACAGCATGTTGTTAGAAGAAATTAATATATAAAGTATTGGAAGACATCAGCTGTTTACCGAAAACTGAATGGAAATTGTAAAATACTTTTTACCATAAACTTATTATCAAAATGCTTGTAGGACCCATGCCTACGTAGGACTTCATTGCCATAAGAGACTAGAGGTACAGCAATCGTTTTGCATGACTGCTTTCAGATGGTCACCATGATGTATGGCCTCACTCACAATTTGACCAGAATAAAAATAAAGCTAAAATGAATCGTATTTTGAAGGAACAATATTAACAATTGTGTTACTTTTTTTTCCTCAGGAACATGTGTAATGATGGACGTAAGGAGGTATCCAGTAGTTTGACGCTGAAGAGCTGAAGAAAATAAATTTCTTGAGGAGGAAAAACGAAAACTGTTAGTGCACTGATTTCAAAATATACAGAAGTAACTACTCTGCCTTTAAGGCCTCATGAAAGGCAAGAGACAAACTTGTTTTGAAATGCTGGAGGCCGTGTCTTGCAGTATCCTGTGCCAGCCTGTATTTAGTTCAGTCCTGCTAGGCAACAAGTCCAAGGTTCTCCACTCCATCCTGTAGTACCTGCTCTGGCTCATATTGATACTGGCTTTCAAAATCAGCGTCAGCTTTAAAGCTCTGGTCTTGCAGCCCTTACACGAACAGCCCCACTGGCTTTCAGAAGTGCCATACCTCCCGTCCGCTGCTTAGCATGCTGGATGAGTAGGATGTATTTTTCATCATGGGCTTTACTAAGTCTGCAAAGTGATCAAATGCCTGCATACCGTTCTAAAATGCTTTGATTTCAGGATGAACATTCTCTTTCTGAGGACCAATGAAAGGTTTTCCAGGTTGTGTCTGCAGCTGTGCAGATGCCTTTTGATCTCAGAAGCTGAATTGCACTCACCCAGTGAACTGATGAACAAGGCTGTTTTATCCACACTACAAGGAACAAAAACCTGGGCACAGCTCCACTTACTTCCTTCTTTGCATTTTTATCTTTTCAAAGTAAAGAGATAAAGGAAGTAACAGAGCCAGGACTGGGATGGCCAACTCCAAGTACAAATAAATCAGTGCTCTTCTTTTCAGGGTCCTGAGCTGCACCTAGACTTAAAAATACTTGATGAACAGAAAGTGGAGACTGAGGATGAGGCTTTACTGAAAAAGAATAGGGAAGAGAAGAATCTATAAGTGTTTTCCAGATATTCTGGACTGATACATGTTGATGTGCTTCACTCCTTCAGTGGAATGGTACCAAGTTAGAGCTGTATGGCACCTGGCCCTACTGTTCAGTTTCAACTTGGAAAAAAGAGGACGTGCTTTGCCCATTCCTGAAAAACATGTTTTCTCTAGGCTGAAGCACAGCACTTGTTTAACAGCTTCCGGTATTTAGCAACTGTTGTCAAACAAGAAAAAAATATTTCATCCAAATAAAATAAAAGAGGAGTTTCAGACAGCAGAGTGGAGTAATTCGCAGTGGAAACTGGCAAGGGTCCAGCAGCTAAATCTTCTTTTAAATGAAAAGCCCAGGGAACCTTTCTGGCATGCCTGAACCCTGTTTCATAATAGGGCTCACCTCAGAAAGTCAGGAATTCTTTCTAAACTTAAACATATACTCACCATTTATTCTTTCTCTCTTTCCAATTATTTCCTGTGGGGGAAAAATAAATATAATAACGTAACATAACATAACATAACATAACATAACGTAATATATATATTTTTATATGTCTTGTTTTAAACCACTGATTATTATGAGATAATGAGTATTCATGTAGGTTCTGAATTGCTAAAGGTAGTTAAGCTGTAGGACTACTTGTTTGAGCAGGTAACTTGTCACTTGTGATGAGCATAAAAGAGGTATTCTCTGTATACCAGTGACTGAAAAGCTCTCAGGGCGTATTTGTTTTCCTCTGGTGAAGAACAGCTTTGTTTATGACTCAGGGCTAAACTATTCAGGAAGTCAGAAAACCGTACTTTGGAGCATGGGTTTGTAACACTCTACTAACCTGGTGACTTTGGTCTTATTGGGAATAATGACATAATAATAAAGTATAATGTACCATCCTTGAGTATCTGAGCTGTTGTGCTAAGACCCTTGGATGCTCAAAATCTGAGACTGTCATTGCAATATGGCTCCCCAAGTTGTGCCTTCTTGTTTCTGACTTCGAATATAGTCAATTCAAAGGCTGAGAGTTCTGACAGATTGTCTTGCTGCCCTTGGGATACACTGAAGTCCTGAACCCTGACACAGTTTCAGAAACAAACAATATCCTTTTGAGCTTCACTTTCACCACCAGAAAAAATAATGCAGATAAGCCCAAACGTTTTTAGGCTTAGCAGCATTTTAGGTTTTACACACTCAGAATAATTTTTTGATGCATAGGAAGGGAAAGAATGGTAATTCATAAATCTAGCACATACCCATGTGCTTGCAGCAGGGAGGCCTAGGTGTGAACTTGCTCTAAAGATATATATAACATAACATAATATTCAGACCTTCTAAATAAGTCTTTTTCTTCAGCATTTAGAAGCTACGGCTCTGAACAAAACTTTGAAATAAAAGAATCTGAAACAGCAACACCAGCATCTTTATTCAACTGATCAAACTGATTTAGTTCTTCTTTCTAAGACATTTATCAGACTACAGCATAAGCCAAAGACAAAGCCCTGTCCTGAACCTAATAGTACACTGGGTAAGCGGGGCCAAATCACATCAATACTGTAGTCCCTGGACGGTGGTGATGTGACTAGGTAGCTAGTTTCAGTTTTTGCTCTCAAAAAAAAAAAAAAAAAAAAGGCTCAGTTTAGTGGCCTGGGATTGGACTTCAGTGCAAGGCTTGAAAGCACACCTCTGGATTCAACAGAAGTTACTGTCCTTGCTCTGTCCCTGCATCTTCATGTTGTGGAATATTAGGTTTATCTTCCTTTTCTGCTAACAAATAGGTGTTACAACACTCATTGCACATTATAAAAAGGCAGTTTTTCAACATAAATTTTCTATAAATACAAATCAGTAACAGGAAAAGACAAATCCTCTATCAGTAACTTCAGATCATGCCTTTGATCTTTAGACATGAAAACAACAAGAGGAATCTCTCCTTCCTCTTCTTAATGTAAAATTTCTAAATTCCTCTACTCATCACGTGGCATTGGAGCTACTTACCAAAACTTAGTTGTTTTGAAATATGTGTCAAGACTGAAGAAAGATGACCCAGCAGCATCTTGGGAGAAAAGAACTGTGAAATTTAAATGCAAAATCCTGTAACTGATTGAAGGTTACATTCTGTCCCCACATGCCCACATATTTCTCTTATTAGCATCAAAAAGAGCCGTGAATATACATCCAAGGATGGATTTTGGTCCTCAGATGTGACTTAGGAAAATATTGTGTGTCGAATATAAAGAAAGTCTGTACTTACAAACAAAAATTATCAGCAACAAAGTGGCAGACAATCCTCCCAGAAAATATCTGAGAACATAACAATACATAACTATACATAACACAACATAACATAACATAGTAAAAACCATGGGCTGCATATTGGGTTAACAGAGGTGAAGCCTGGGTGGGTGGAAGAGAGAAGGTTCTTGCAGATGAACCCTCTGAACTCTGGTAGGTGAACTGCAATTTGAAACTTTAAATTACTTAAGCTGTTGAGGATAATCTCCTAGAAATAAAGACCTCAGCATTCCCAAACTGAGGAAAACATCCATATTGATCAATTAGAATGGATCCATTCTGACTCTTCTCAGCCTTTCAAACCCCCTGTCCGAGCACATTTAACAAAGTAGTCATCATATCTGCGTAGATATTTCTTATTTTGTGCATATCTATATAGCTCAGATATTTGCCTGCATTGACTATCATGTGAAAACATATTTTCACAGTACGATATATCCGACTTTGAAAACATGACCCTTATTTTATGTTTTATTCCCCAGGTGAAATGGAGTAAGCATTAAAATGAGAAGCAACAAATGAAAGAAATAAAAATTACCTTGTACATATTGAAATGATTAAACACGTGATCAGTGCAGCCATCTGGGACAGGACACTCCGCACTGTGCTGGATTCTAAAACAAAGATCAAGAAAATAACTTTCATGAGTTTTCAAGAAAGTAAATATGTGACAGAAGGTGTCTGCAAAGACTGCCTTCAGCCTGTGAGGCCAGTCTCTTCAGTTTCTTTTTAAGAGAATTCGCCTAGAGTGATTCAAAGCAGAAACCTAATTTTCATGCTCTGGGTGTCTCTCAGGAGTCTTTTTCCCCTATGACCACAGAGACACTGTGCCCTCCATGCTCTCAGAAAACAAGCCTTTCTGAATAATTACCGATTTCAGGTTTTGTTCCCATGCCCTTTCCTCCATTTTCCTCTTCACTCCACTTTTTTCTTTTTCCATTTATCACTGAAAATAGGAGAGGAAAAGATGTGAGCAGGGTGGAGTGAACAAATACTAATTTTAAGATTTTATTATTTTTAATCAGTCCTTTTAAATGTATGGTTCAGAAAATAAATTCTGTTCTGCAAGAGGCCATATCAACATTTTAATGTGAGTGTTTTCAGTTCACTCTAAAAATAAGTCATATCAGGATAAAAATGTAACATACCTGCATTTCTCAAAGTCTCTTCATTTGCATTTATCATCAATGGAGAACAGGACTGTGAAGCACAAAGTGGTTTCCCAGGCTGAAGAAACTCCTCGTCTTTGGTGAGAGAGGCTCCATTAGGTGCTGGAGTTTGCCTTTGTGGCACGTGGCTGTTATATTCAGAAGAAAAGTCTGAATCACCTACAAAAAGTTTATGCATAACTGAGACCACACAAAAGAGCTTTGAGACTTTGTGTCAATAGATTTCATGGGGGGAAAAATTAATTACTTAATCACAGGGAGGTTTTCAAATTGTTCAGGGTAGGGAATTGGCAGGTTCAACGTATGCAGGAGAAAATATGCAGAGTAAAGACAGAACTGCATCGAGCATAACACAATGAAGTTATTGAAACAGGCAGGTGAAAGCAGACAGAGCCAGTTATTAATGACGCCTGCATAAACATCACTGGTCATGACTTTGGATTCAAATTCAGTCTAAAAATTCTTTTTTGGCACAAAGGCCTTTGTGGACTTATACTCCATTTTAACACCAGGAGCTCAATTCAGCACTTACAAGCCTGCTGTTCATCTATCCTTTACCTGCACATCTTGGCAGACAATCACTGCGAAACTGATAGAAACAGATACCCAAGTCCCACTAAATATAGACTGTAATGTTTTAGCTCGATTGCGTGGTACCTGGTCAGGGCTTACCGATATCACTCTGACTGGCTTCTAGTTTATTGCATCCATCAGGCCAAGGATCATCGACATTGGAGGAATCCATGTCACTCAGGACAGTGCTGCTGAGCCATGAACTGGACTCACCGAGACTGAACAAGCTGGCAAGAGAGCGACGGGTTTTCTTCCTTCGCCTGAATATGCTAGAAAGAAAAGACATGCTGTCACGTAAAAGCGTTAATTATTCTTGCTGAGCAGGGACAAGCTCTAAAGCTTGCAGGACTGACATGAAAGAACCAGGTTCTGGGTGCTGTTCCGAGCCCTGTTCCTGACCCTGGGAATGGCTGCTGCACACTGCAGTAATGTCAGGGAATGTCTTAGCAGCATGGAGATATATCATGCGTTGTGATCCTGGATATTGTGAAACCAAATGATACCACAGCTCTGATACTGCTCTGAGTAGTCGCATGCTACTCATGAGTTTCACCCCACCATAGCCCATTTGGTGCAGCTTGAATCCACTGTACTTCAAATTCTTCAAACTACATTTTATATACCTTCCTAAACTGATATTCTTTTGAAATCAACAGAGATTTTTCCCTGAGTAAGAATTCCAGGACCAGACCTTTTTTTTTTTTTTTTTTTCCTTGTCACTTGAAATCAACAGAGATTTTTCCCTGAGTAAGAATTCCAGGACCAGACCTTTTTTTTTTTTTTTTTTTTTTTTTTTTTTTTCCTTATTCCTTGTCATGGTAACACCCCATTGGCAAAATGAGCTCTCCTTTTTCTTTATTGCACACAACTCCAACTACAGCAACAACTGCGTACTGAAGAGTTTTTGAGTAGTAAGATTAGACATGACTGAAAATCAAGTTATTTCAATCACTGCACTCAATCAACTAAATCAATTCAGATGTTCCCATTAAGAAGCAATGCTGATCTTATGCCACATGAAATGCAGACAGCCTTACAGATACCTCCAAATAAGTCCAGAGATGTGGAGGCTATTGCCAACACTGAGTAAAATCTGCATATAGTTCACTTACCGAACTAAATTCTCTTTATATGTCTGGGATGGTGTCAGTGTTACATTCCCCCCTTCATTAGACAGAAAACTGTCTTCTGTCAGAATGTAATAACCATTCGAGAGCAGTCGAGGGCTGTGGCGACATGGGGAAGGGGAGCCTGTCAGAGGATTTCTGGAACAACACTCACAGGCAGGGTCATCATCCAAAAAGGCACAAGCATAACTGAAAAGGAGAAATGAAACCCTCTAATTTAGTGAATGTTTAGACAATGCAAACCCATGATTTAATAATAATGAATTTACATTACCAGCTGATGGGGGCTGGTAATGATAGAAGTTTAAAATATGTGGACATAATGATATTAGTTCTGGACCTAGGGGGGTTTCAGCCAGCTAGAGGATGCCTCCATCACACTTTCCAGAGCTTCAGATTACAGGAGGGCTTCATGCCAGGAGAAGCATTTAATGAACACATGGAGCCAGCTTGGATTGAGAAGTGCGTGGTGTATTTCTGTGGCAGTGCTCTTGGCCAAGGAGTCCTGCCAGAGCTGTTACAGGAATTCCAGTGCTTTGCTTCTTGGAGTTACTCTACACGGCACAAACCTGACTGCCTCTGAATCAGGCAGGTTTTATTTGCTTTCTATAACCTAGCCACACCTAATGAAGAGTTAAAGGTACATGACTTTTAATTCTCACAAATCCTAGCATACCATGCGGATAGAACAATGTGGGATAAAGTCTACACATGGTGATAATTTCATCCAACACTGAAATACAATGGACTTTCAGATCAAATATAGCACAGAAAAATACACTATGTGGTATTTAAAATAGAAGTGAGTAGTGACAGATGTGAAAGAATCTAAATGTTGTAGACATTTTACTTAGCTCAAGTAAAATTGGATTTATGGTGAGTCCTTTCTCCTCAACAGTTTTGAGTTCCAAGTGGCCATACAGTGACTTCCATGGAAAGAAAGGAAGACTGGACTGATTCAGTGTCTGACATGTGTTTCAGAAGCAGGTTTAACTATCCCATATGGCATGTCACAGAGGAATAGCATAACTTCAGTGGAGGGGAAAGCAGATGGAACAGAGATACTCCAAAGCCTTGTAATTGCAAAGCCAGTGCTCCCAGTCTCTACTGTAGTACTTCTGAACTTGCATTTAAAGCAGTAATTAAATTAATATCAGCACTACAATTCAAAGTGGCCCAAGAGGGATTTTACAAAATCTCCAACAAAACAAAAATAAAATTAAACAAGTATAAATTTCCGTAGTACCTTGGAAAAACATGTTGTGAGAGGCTGCGCCTATGTTGTCCATTAAACGCTGGTGAACCTGCAGAGGCAAAGGCTAAATCAGGAGTCGTTATCATGTCCACTGACAGCTCAAACAGTTGGCAGGTCTTCAATTACAGGTACCTTGTGCATATCAAAAATATCATAAAAGAAGCTAAAAAAGAAAAGGAAACTAAGGGAGAGATTGAAGGAGATAAAACAGGTGAAAGAACAGAGGAAAGACAGAGTGTTTATAGGGAACTAATCTCAACCAGGAGAACACAGAATCAGAGCCAATCACAATCAGATACTCATACTCTGCACAGCTTGCAACATTGAGAGAAATAATTATGGATGCAAACGCAATAGCTGCAGTAATTTTAATGGTGTTTTCCCAGAAATCTGCTTCATGCCAAAAAGAGTACATGTACTGGCAATAGATGCAGAGTAGAACGGAAGGGTCACCACTACCATTACAATATATTTTTTTCAGATAAAAAACACCTCCACATTTCACTTTACCACGAGAAAAGTATGCTTTAACCCTGGCAAAAACAACTTGAGGAGGAGACAACTGGAAGAAACTTGGTGAAGGTGCAAAGAGATCAAGTAGCATCTGTCAGAATGCCACACACAAAGTTGTAGAAAAAGTGAGAGTGGTGGTGTATTTCATAGACTGACATGTTGTAGGCCTATTTTTTAATATACAATTAGCTCCTGAAATAATTTATCTTATTTTAGGCAAAATCATGATTTTAAATTGGGCAAAAATATACTCAAAACCAAGAAATCAATCCAAACTCTAAAAGAAAATACATGAAGAACTCAACAAGTGGTTAGTAGATCTCCATATAAACTAAAACCTGCAAAATCCCAAATCTCATCAAAATCCCCTCTACAACAGATCTGGTTTTTATCAAAAGTTCTAATGAATATGCACAAATTTACTTGCTCACAGTGTCGATGCAACATGTGATACTCCATACATCTTGAAAAGGACTGTTTCATGCACTCTGGGATAACTGGTAGTACAGATTATCCGTAAAAGATTTTAAAAAGAAACAGAAGTATGTTTTATTTTGTCTTTCAAGATAGTATCATCAATATATATCACATCATTAGTTATAATATATTCTTACTTAGGCAAAAGTGATTGATTCTAGGTCATATTTGTTTGAAAAGGAATACAGAAGTGTACCTCAGCATCAATTATACCTACTACAACTCTTTAATAATCTGAGAGTGAAACTTTCCAGCAACTGAAACCCATAACACAGTTGTATTGCATGTGATTTTCTCAGTTATGATAGCACAAAGTAGCAACTACTAAAAAAAAACCCAACTTTTAAGAATAGTAGTTTACAGATGGGTAGTGCTTTCACTAGGAAGTGTTGACACATACTGATCAACGTGGCAGAACAAACCACAGCCCTTCTGTTACTAATTTGAAATGTCCCATAAATTTGCAGTTTGTCTCTGCAGGATGCTTTTTTATCTGCCACCCTCCACAGAAGTAAAATTTAAGGTAAAATATAGTATATACACATTTATAACAGAAAGCGAGAGATATGCATAGGCAAATACTTTACTGGGGAGGTGATGACTTTCTTTTGATGAACAGTTAATGAGCAGCTGCAATTTGCTTTCAAACTATTTTAAGTAATGATAACATCAAGCTTATGTAAATAGTCATAGAACAGGAAGTCCAATGGATATTTTTGCTACCCTTGATCATGAAAATTTTTGTCTCATGCGTTAATGAGGAGGATTCATGAAAATCATAATTCAATCAATGCTGGAGAAAGCATGGAAACATGGAAACATCATGTTGTAGACAATGCTGCACAGTGTGCTGCTTTCATTCAATATTCAGTTCCATTTTTGGGCTATTAATAGTGTGAGAAGCTATAGTAACAATACAAGCAAGCCAAAACAAAGCATCTCAACCACCAGTGTACAATGAAGCAGCAGTATTATAACTGTAATCTACAAAATGAGCATCGATACAGAACCTTTAAACTATGACATGAGAAAAGGCCAACAGCTTTAAGAAATCTCACTAAAGGTGAGAAGTTCACTGAGGTGAACATGGCAATTATTTTATGTCAAGAATTCAAAAGTCTAAGGTAACAACCCCCTTGAATTTCAAAACACTTGAAACCCCATGTTGTAATATAAACAAAAAGTCACTGTCCAAACCAGTTTTAATCACCTTTCCCTCCAAAAATCAAATTAATCTTTAAGCCAATGATGCCCTCAATTGGTGGCCAGCAATCCCCTGTCCATGCTTACATTCTGAATATTTACATTAGTATGTACCAAAACATAGTGCTATTAAAATAGCTGAAGCCCAGGCAACCAGTCTGAATCTATTGTACCTACCAAATACAAGTGTCTACAAAGATAGTTTGATTTGTTCACACATGTCAGTCATTTCTGAAGAGCAGTCTAGTCTTTTCTCCCTGCAGGTAATGCTAACAACATTCACAAAACCACAGAACTTCCTGAAGAGCAGTATAGAAATTAATCCAAAGCTTAGTTATTCCTCAGCTGACAAATACATTAAGAGATAAATATGTGTAAAATCTTCCAAACCTGGAAAATCCATTTCACTATTAACACATGTATGCAAAAATGTTTCTTGTCATCAACACACTCCAAGACATGAAGCGGAGGGTGCTCGTTCTGCAGTGTCCTGGAGGAGATGAGCCCTGGGTCTTCGGAACGGAGGGTCCATGACGTCCCCTGTTTCCTTTTGAAAACAGCCCAAGCAATCAGCAGCACAGAGGCAGAATGAGGTCATGCTTCCTGTAAAGCAGCCTCACATCAGAAGCATTCATTTTCAAGAGCAAACAGAAGACTACGATTAGCCCAATGAACGCTCTCACAGGCTGTTGCAAAAGAGGAGATATAAATAACGTTTCACTCCAATTATGATATGGAGGACAAAGACAGAACCTTTTCTCATAAAGAAAAGTGACACAGATTTTTGTTTCAGCTTTACTTGTCTACCTAACTCAGAAAACTTTAAAGTGCTATGCCCAAATCACTCCGTTTGTTGAAGTACTTGTAAACCTGACGGGCTTTGGTGTAGGAAAATTGATCCAGCTACCAAAAAAGATCTGTATATAGTAACGAGACATTTGGCAAAAGCACTATTATACAGAAGATGCATTTGATGAGATGTCAGAGTTGTTTAAGTTATTAAGTTACTGCAAATATATGTAATGCACTGTTAAGATAAATTCCTTTGAAAGGAGAAAGCCATTTGTAAACATATTCGTTATTCTACTCTATATGTTTCATACTGTGTAAGGTGTCAATTCATCATACCTTAAAGTGTCCAAAAATAAAGTCAAACTCACATAAGAGAAATGGAGCCAGAATAAGATGTCCTGGCAATCGAAATAATTTGTCTGTAGAGCTATTATACACAAAAGTAACATAAATCAGCTGCTTGACACTGAAGAATGATACAGCCTTAGGGAGCAAAACTTCATCTCCAGACAAATAGATAAAATATGCAAGTAGGTATCTCTCCTGATGTCTGTATGTATCACTGACAAAAAGAAAGCATAAGTCTAGTAAATTACGATTGATTTGATTTTGTGGTGGGGTTTGTTTTTGTTTTTGTTTTCCTGGAGAGGGAAAAATAATTCCACTGATAATAAAGGAATGTAAAATTCTCACCTCACAGAAAAGGAAACAAAAATAGGAATTAGGCAATGAGGATGTTACAAAAGAGCTTCTGTTTGGGAACTAAACTGAAATGAACATTTTAAGGTCCTTTTGCTCAAATGTGAAAACACAGGGCCATGTTCATTCTTCACATCACTTCTTTTAATTTAGTGGAATTATGCTAATGAGGAAATTTAGTCCAACACTATTTCCATGGCTGCGTGGGCTTCATCACAGTAGGATTTCCCAGGCCACCCTGGGGCTCTACTGGCAATGGACATAAATTCCCAGTGCCCTTTAAAACTAGGTCACCTACTGAAGAATTTCTATAAATACATTGATTTACAGCACAGGTTACTTCTTGGGAGTACTTCTGGTTTCTTTTAATATTCTTCTCAACAGGAAGCAGTTAATCCTGAGCTTGGACTTCTTTTTTGATGGACATTGGCCTTTCATGTTTGTCTATATAGTTAAAATATATTGTGTCTATATCATATTTAGGCTTGGAGGTGTTTTCTTTTTTAATCACTACCATTCATATCTGAAACTCACTGTTCCACAAGCCTCTGATGCATCAACTTTGTGCGGTGGTGAATATTTTATAGGTAGGTGCTAGCCTACAGTTTATACACAAACACACAAAGGTTTATATACAGCTTTTTTTGTTGCCCTTCCTGTTGCTCCCCAGACTGCCCACTCCACCCCAAGCCTCATCTCAACCCTCAAATTTCAAATTCTAGGAAATGAATACACCAACAAATGTCTTGTGCAATAGTTTCATGCCTGTTGCACACATTACAATTTCAACCCACAAAAGGAAGGAAATGAGAAATTACAATACTAACTACCATGTATCTTTCTACTCTTCTCCCAGGCTTACTCTACTTTCAACAAGACTACAAATAAGCATATTTCCAGTGAAAACCTATTGTGCTGGGTCTGGCAGTCCAAGAGAGATGAGGCTGGGGCAACTTCATGCCTGAGGTCCCACCAGCATCGAGCCTGAGCACACAGAGCACATATATACACAGTGTATACACATACATACACAGCTGGCAATGATGTTGAAATAACTATGCGTTAGAAATTAACTTTACTAAATGTAAGGAAAATGTGAAACCAGGGTCTTAAAGGATGTGCCTTTGTCTGATAAGCAGGATATGTCTGTCTAAAGTAGAAGTTCAAAATTATGAAATGTTAGTTTGGTCAGCAACCCATGAAGAACGGCTTAGAGTTGCCAAAAGAAGTAAGAAAATAGGAGAAAGGTAATTCTGACGGGGAGATTACGACCACTGACTCATGGACCACCTCCCCCAGTTATACCACCAGCTCAAAAGAAAGAAGAGCTAAGTATATGTACTAATTTATATACTAGGTGAAGAGATTTTAACCAATTATTTAATAGAATAACAATGCGCATGTATTAGGAAGTTGAATATGTGTATAAGTAACCTTTAATGTGAAAGCTCAGTGTGCTGTCTCAAGACAGACACCCATCTCTGTGCAGATATGGAATAAAAGGAAATACCTCCCCTCTGTGTGTGGACTGGCTCTTTGCACACCGGGTGACGAACCCAAGTTTAGGGACAACATAAGCTGGATCCCTCCAGCAGCTGAGCTCAAACACTCCATCTGCCCAGTAGCTGCCCTCAGATCCCAGTCTCCCCAGTTGCTGGCACCTGGACACATGAAGCCTCAGGGCCACAGCCGCACTCCTGTTGCTGGTACAGACCATCGCACACTCACATACGCCTGGTGGGGACTCCTATGGTCTTCAGCAGCCCACTCCCTATGGCATCGCCCTTAGGGACACCCCTGGAAATAACAGGCAACAACCCTCTTCTGTCCCCAAAAATGCTCTGGTGTTGACTCATCTGGGTGGGTTTCATGCCTGGACACAGGGGCTGAAGCCCAGACAGGGTGTCCCTTCTTTTGAGTCCTTAACTTGGGTTCCCACCTGCCTTTGTGCCCCTGTGCTCCTTTGGGCTGGTGCAGATGGGCCTTTGATGGGCCGATGGCTCCTGGGATGGGTCTGGGAACCTTTGGTGTAAGGTATTATTTGGGCTCCCTCTCCTGCTGGTGTCTCTCCATGCTCCTTTGTGCTCCTTTGTGGGTGTGCAGATGAGCTTTTAGACCAAGTTACACCATAAGTCTGCCACCTCAGCAACCCAGTGCAACACAACGCAGTTTGACCCATGTCACAGCTCTTTGCTAATGCTGTTTATATAGCACTCAACAAGTAAAAGATATTTTGAGATACCTGAATGTTAATTGAAACATCCAAAAAAATAGCAGGGAAAGGGCAGGTCAGGAGAACCTCAGGGCAGACACACTGCATCAAACT